TGCTGGCAACTCAGTGGTATGCCTGGACAATCCAGCCGTATCCCTGACTTGGCCAGCAGTAGAAAGCCAGTACCAGCAGATTGGGGTCCGAGCTCTCCTCTCCTTGACAGTCGTTAGCAGTTAGTCTTGCCCATCTTAACCAGTCAACAGTAAGCACTCAGCTCTACTGGACATCCTCCCCTAGATGCAGGAGCTGCCAGAGGCCCCCCAGGCAGTAGCACACAAAGGAATTTGGGCCTGCTACATTAGCAGCGACCGGAAAGCAAGCAACAAAGCTGGAAATAACGAGATGTCAGTGCCATAGTCGCTTCTAGTCATCTGCAAATGCAGCCCATCCTCATCAGCAGGGACCGGGAGCCTGGCTCTCCCTGGTGACCCCACACTGCCTGCCTGCGCTCATCGGAAGCGACAGCCCTCGCCGGCTATATCCACGTGTGGGGTTTTTATACCGTTTGTCAGGGCTCCCTTGCCTCTCTCTCCTCCGCTCTCTAAAAGCCTTGAATGATCATGATGAATTATAGATTAGCTCTGCTACAAACCACCTTATGTCAGTTTTCTCATTCAACCATACAGAATCCTGCTGTTTTCCATCCCCTTCCAGAACAATCATCGTAACGGAGAGGGAAGTGGAATAACTCTTCAGTTAGAGCAACTTTTAGGAGAGAAGCCAGCAGAGCTCCGTGTTTAGAGGTGTGACACCCCTGGGCTATTCAACTTGTACCTTAAGAAAACAACAGTTCTTTTATTTCGGGGTGAGGAGGAGCAGACGAAATAAAAGGTCTGGTTCATGTATACAGACACAAAGAAATCCTAATGAGCTTCTCCCGAAGGGCCAGCGCAGCCCCTGATCCCCACGGGCAGGTATGCTGACATTGCTATCGGATGCCCTACGAGATCCCTCCTCCAGAAGCAAATCCTGGACCAGCAATGCCTGGCTAGAGAGACAGAGCTATCGGCGATGTGATTCGGCTTACCCCGCTGGCTGCCTCCTCCTCCGGCTTCATCATGGGGGAAACATCTCCCTCCCAACGAGATGAACTATGGAGGGGGAAACAGAGGACCGGTGCACCCCTCTGGCTGCTTGCAGACCTCTAAAGAGCTGTATTCTCTTGGGAACAGCACTAGTGACTGCTGCAGATGCTGTCCTCACAGCCACAGGCTTAAGAGGCAATTGTGCAAGCCAAAGGATGATGAAGACAGCCAAGACATAACTCAGAGAGCTCCCATCGTTGAGACAGAGCGTCCTCCTTTTCCCCTGGACCCTGTCCGTACGTCCATCAGCGTCGCAGGAGGTGGAAGTTGAATGCTTCTCTGCCCTGGCTGATGTGGCAGGGGGAGAAGCGAAGGGTGCTGCATCAGAAGAACTGCTCATCAGTGCCTGCATTCCTCCATTGCCCCAAAGGGTCAAAAAGGCTCAAATGACAGCCCCACCAGGATCCACATGCCAAATCCTAGAGCTGAGGGAACAACATCATGGCTGGAGAGGATGTGCATCATGTGAGGAGCCTCAGGAGAGTGGAAGAGGCAAGTCCTCACCTGGCAGGGACAGGTAAAGGCCACACTGAGATGGGTTTGCCGAAGAGCCATGAGACGAAGGCGCCTGCCACGGATTAGATGACTGTTGTAGGTCCCTTCCAACTGAAACGCTCCACTCTGTGTTCCGTCTTTGACAAGGGCAGCCCGAGTCTCTTTACCTCCCTGGTTAGCAGCAGATGCTCCCAGGGAAGGACGAGAAAAATGGAGTAATAGGCCCACGGCCCCAAGGGGAGAGCACGATCCCCCTCAGCAGCTGGTCACACTGCCAGACTGAGGGAACAAGGACTTTGCCAAAGAAAGCAAGCTGAGGGCATGAGGGCTTTGGCTGCTGGGAGAACCATCTTGCCGGACACGGAATACATGAGAAAAACTTACTTTGTCTTCCTCCGAGGTGAAATTTTTAACTCTTATGCTGAACTTCAGCAAAAAGCCCGATTTGGACGTTACGCCGTGAAGGGACTGGAGGTGAACTAAAATGCTTTCAGCGAACAGACTCCCGATGATATCGTCTGAGACGTTTTCAAGTCGCACCACCTGATTTTTAAAAGGTCGTGGAAAAAACCCATAAGGGCCGCTGGGAGCATCTTTGATAGAGAAACAAAAACCAACTCCTCAAACCCCCACCGAAGAGAGGAGGTCATGCTTATTTCCTGAACTTGTTTTTCTCACGACTGCTTGTCTATATTCCACGTCATCTCTAATGGGCCAACGTGAGCTTCCCTTAAGCCATTTTTGAGACTGTGCCCTAACAAGCTGTAAAACTTATTATGCCCTCCCTGCTAAGACAGCAGAGGAGAAGACTTCCTCCAGAGAGACAAAGCATCTAATCCAGTTTTTCCAACTGGACATCAACTGGACCATTTTGTTCCTTCGAACACTGCAGCCTGACAATGCCAGGACAGCACACGGAGCTGGTAGTCAATCCTCCTTCCCTGCTCTCCTATTTTTTGACCTAACATATTTTCCATCTTCTAAAGTAGCTGGAGGCGTTTTCTTTGGACTCCTCTATTATCTTAATCACTTGAGCAGAGAAAGAAACCAGGTAGCCTACCTTACAGTCTACTTTGCAAGCTTTGGTTCGCAGAGAAAAGGTAATGCCATATAAGATGACTGAGAAGTCACCCCATAAAAGCCCCCAAAGGAATGAAAGGCAACTCAGCACTCCCTAAAAGCTCTGCTTTTCTTCCAAGCACCACCACCAAAAAAAAAACCAAAACCAAATCAAAGCTCAAAAATCTGGCAGATGGAAGGGAACCTTTTTTTTTTTTTTCATCTTTTTTCAGTGAAGATGACAGAAGAGAGGTGAACAGTTTTGCAAGCGTGCCACGGGTGCTTTAAAGCAGAGCTGTAACGGAAAACTAAAAAGCTCCAAGAGGAACCACTTGTGCTGACCTGGAAGATATAGGAAACAAAAACAGCTTCAAAACCAGCTGCAGCAGCATGCTTTTTTATATAGATATATATATAAAGCATGAAAAAAAAATAATAGAAGAAACCTCTGACAGGCATTTAGCAACTCTTTAAACAGGGCTGACGTGCAGTGCTGGAAGCATGGTTTGCTTCTCAGAAGAGCCCTTTTTAAAATCAGGTGTATTACCCAGAAGGATAAATGCTACACTTACAGAAACATATTTCTCCTCCTGCGCTTCCCCAAGCAGACATAACTTGTTCAGCACTACAGCAACCAAGCCTTCTTCTTCACCTGTTCCTGTGTCCAGATCTGACGGCCTCTGCTTCAACCCCCCGTACACCGAGCAAGACGACGGCTCACGTGCACGCAGCAGCAACCCGCTGTCGGTGGGATAGTGCAGTCACCTATTTTATCTTTGATCCTAACCCTAGAAGAGCAGAGAAACAGCTCCTCTCCCACAGTGCCACGAAAACAGTATCAGCATTGACTGAATCTGGTTCAGTACATAAAAATAAGTTATCGAGAGGACGCAATTTGGCCACGTTCCACGTCGGTTTGTACTGCAGAGAACATCAGGCATCTACAGGGAGCTTTCATTTAAGGTGGTTCTTCCCCTTTCCCCAACCAAGAACGAGAAAAAGTTGACAGCCCAGAACAATAAGTCATTGAGAAGATAAAAACATAGCAAAGATTCCTTTACCTCCTCGAAAAGGAAAACGCAACAAGCACAAAAAGACCTTGATTCACTCATTCTTTAAGGAGGCAACACTGGAAACCAGCATTGTAAGTTTATTACTTTAAAAAAAAAAAAAAAATTGCTTCAGTATTACACTGTCATTTTATTTCCCTCCTGTCCATACAGTAGAACTGTGCAGCACTGCGCAACACACGTGCATCCACTACAGTGAGGAGAAACTGCCGAGGGCAATTTCTGATCAGCATTCGGAAGCTACAGCAGCATTGCCACCCTGTAGCCTGCTGGGAGCTGGGGAGAGGGTTTTCTTCTGAGTTTGCACCTCAGATGTCACCGCTGTTCAGTAAAGCTCAGTCCCATGGCAAGGAAGGAGCACACAAACTGTGGGTGTGTTTGACTGCGAAAGAAACTTGCCTGCAGTGATTTTAGGAAAAGGTTTTCCTGATATAGGTAAAACAAATGCCATATTCGATTCTGCTGGAAAGCCCCTTGGAAGGAATTTCAGGTAAATACCCATTAAGCACTGTAAAAGCAGAGTGAAGCACTGACCAGGAACTCCTGCACTACATGCTGAGCACTGTTTATCACTCTATGCCAAGAGGCAACTGGTGAGAACCTCTTACCTAAAGACACATTTCCCATTAGCTAATTAAATTAAATTCTAAATTTAATAGTTCATACTTGCTCTTAAACTGACCTGTTCCATCTCGGCAGCTGCTGGGATGGGGGAAACACATCACATTACTATATACAGTCAGTCTTCCTGCGAGCGGACACCGAGCTCGAGTGTATAAAAATGCATGTTTGCTCCAGAACTCAACCGGTCACTGTTTGCCAGGAACGACATCGGAGTAATCTTTTAATACTCCAGCCAAGTGGTCATTGTGAGTCTTAAAGCGACGTTTCTTCTGAGAAGCGGGTTTCTTCCTCCTCTGAATAGGAACCTGCAAGAAGAAAGGAACAGAAGTCAAAAAGATCTGCCCTCCCGCTGCGACATCTGACCTGACGGGTGATGCTGCACAAGTCATCACTTCTAAAAAAGAAGAGCCCTGCTCCAACCAGGGGTGGGCAGGTGGGGAAGGTCCTCGCTTGTTTTTGTGAGAAGCAACAGCGTTGGATTCAAATCCAGGCAGGGAGACGACCCTGGGGACAGACCAGAGCCTCCGTATCCCATGCAACAGCAGTAAAGGTGGTGTTTATAAGTGCAGCTTCCAAACGCTCCCATGCAGCTACGGAACAAGGTACGTGCCCCATAATTCCATCCACAATTACGTGGTCAAAGACACATTTAGCATAAGAGGAATCCAAGAGGAGTGCCTACATGACGACAGGCATTAAAGCATCTAGTGTAGGGACTAGCAGAAACCAGGAATAAGTCCTGTGGGGAAGGGCTCCCAGGAAAGGGCAGTTTGAAGCCGAGTGCTGAAGAGGAAAGACGTGGTATATCACACACAAATAAATGCTAAAAAAATACTTGTTTGAAGCCAGGAAGAAAGCATCTTTGGAGAGCCTGCAGCCATTTTGGCCTCCCAGTAAAAGATAAGTGTATCACACCCAGTTTGGAGAACGATGCATGTGTGGTGGGAGGCAAGTTACATAGTTCCTATCAGGATTTCAAAGCTATTTAGCAGAAAAGTGAAAAAAACCCAACCCCATCCTTCTCCTAAAAAAAGTAATGATTCTTCTACTCCTTATGTATTGCACAGCTTGGAGTAGAAGCTTCCACTTTGGAGCTCACAGGGATTTCTGGCATTTTCCCTCTTCTTGATGCTGCTTGGATTACACTGGCTCAAACAAGTTATAAAAACACTGACTGCTGGCTACAGCATTGTGTTTTGCAACTTCTTAAAAATCGGTCACGCTTCCCCGAGCTACACAAAGCAGCTGTGCAGAGGCTCACCGACATGTTTTGGGATTAACACTGCGGGGTCAGGAAGGGGGAAATCTCCTAGAAAGATCTGTAATCTGTATCTCTTACTATTTTCTTTGGTCCGGTTTCTTGCATGGAAGAAATACCCTGTCGTTTCAGATACTCTTCGATTTTCTCCTCATCCATAGAATCCACGGGAATGCTCCTCCACAGCTTCTGAAATTCTGCAACACCAAACGAACCTTCCTTTTATATCTCAGTGAACAAATCCCGGGCGAAGCCCCCGCACGAAGGGAAAAAGACTCAATTTCAAACACCGAAGCATTCTGGCACGTCAGCCTGTGACCGTACAGACGCAGGGATCGCTGCCAGCAGGAACTCGATCAGCACAGCCTTTACCCACTCCAAACGCCAAAAAAACACCAAAAAAACCCAAACCTCAGCCAACAAAACAACAACAAACCACCCCCGGTGCTTAATGGGAAAAGATGAGTTGATCCTCATCCGTGCTAACGGCACTCCAGCATCTCAGCACCCACGGGCAACGTGCTTTGAACGTTAATTTGCTACGGAGTCTCTTTCTCTGCCTCCCATCTCTACAGCTGTGTAGACTGTCAACGTGTTTTATAAGCCCCGGTTCAAAAGATCTTGGTGAAGGGTAATAACTAACCATAAAGGGCAGCTTCATTTACACATCTCCAGCTGCCATTGTCTTGGGAGACTCGTCATCTCACAGTCCAATTTACTGAAGATTCAAGACATTGACTTCAGTGGGTTTAAGCTCGTTCATCACTGCAATATAATACGTACCGCGCTGTACAGATAATAAATTACTAAAATTCCTCTGGTGTTAAAAAGAAGAGAGATACCTTAAAAGCCACAGCAGCAGGAAAGAAGACAGAGACAGTAAGTCTTAATTAGAGCAGCTGCCATCTGCCTGCACACTTTCTGCCGCATGTAAAGTTTCGCAGAGCCTCTGGAATGCCTTCTCCAGGCAGAGGCTGGTACGATCCTACCTCCCTTCATTCCCCAGGCAGTTAAGTCAGATACATCCTGTCAGCAGGTTTGGCTAACAAACTATAAATAAAACACGAGGCGCACACAGCAAGGCAAGACTCAATTTTTCCCTTTATTTCCAGATAAATTTAGTATACAGTTGTCAAAACAACCCCAACTTCTGCATGCTTAAGAAGCTGTCCTGTGTGGCAGGCGATGAAACGCTCCGGCGACGCTCTGCCACAGGCACACTGGCTCCAGGGGCACCGCAACGAAACGGTGCCGTACAAAAGGTGTACCTAACGGTTCCCGTGCTCGGACCGGTTCCCTTCCTAAGGCATCTTGGTTTTTGTACGAAAGTACGCGCTTTAAGACTCAGGTCTTTCTTTTCTTCCCATTGCCAACAGCAAGGGAGCTGTTCGAGCTTTCCAGGAAATAAAGGAGTTTCTCCAGCGAAGAATAACAACGTTCATTTTTGGTAATGCAGCGTTTTTGAAGAGAACTAAATCCTGTCAAAGCACCACTTTTGGTTGCAGGTTACAGCCTGCTTCTCGCAGAGGCTATACGGCACGGCGGGATCATCGAGATGGCAGTTTTGATTTAACTGAACGCAAGGGCTGACACTGTAGTCAAGACATTCTCTGTCTGCTCATCCATTTGGAGTGTGATTCCGGGCTTTTGGCACAGCTCGCGGTACCCGCTATCGCAGATCAGCTCTCACCTAATCCCGTTGCGGCAGGCGGAGAAGGTTGTGTTACGATCAAAGCCGAACGGACAACAGAGAGATTTCTCAGTGATGAGCGCTCAGATTAAGTCCCGAGAGCAGAACATGCTTTTTCCAGCTATTTCCTTTCTGTTCATGCCCCCTCCCTGTCCTCAACACCCAAGCTGCACACAGCTGGACACCGAGAGCCGGTGGTGGCGGAAAGATGAACCAGACAACGGGGGTGCAAACGCAGTATCGCGCTCGGCGAGTCGCCGTTATCTCAAATCACACGTTTCTGCAGTTCACACGTGAGGCGACAAGGCTGCACGTAAAGGCAGGACTATTAAACCGATCCCGGTTAGAGACACTTGGAGGCTGTGCTGTGCTATACTGCCTTTAGCTCTGCACAGACGGCTTTGATGGGAGGTGATGAGACGCAGGTCAGTCCTCCAAGATGCACGACAGGCACATGTACACGAGGTGACAGCAGCTGAGGGACTTGATAACTCTGAACTTTTACATGACAGTGTCCTTTTATTTACCATGTTCTGCACAACCACAGATGACGTGTCTCCTTATTGGAGTTCAAGATATATGGACAAATACACCCCGACGCCAAAAAAAAAAAAAAACACCAAAAAAATTGCTGAGCATAGGTGCTTAAGGTTAAACTGGTCTACATTCTTCTGGGGAACAGAAGTGAAAGATTAAACACTAGAAAATAAATGGTCAGCTCTTCAAGGATCAGCATGCAGAGAAGTGCAGATCGCAGTTAATATCTAACCACGGCGTTTCGCGTTTCTTGTAATGCAGCGGTTACGCTATCATTACAGCTTCACGTTCACCTTTTACACTCGGCCAAGAAACACGAACCTAACAGTCATCAAGAATCAAAACCGCAGAGCTGAAATGGACTTCGCATACAGATAATTTAATCCACTAATTGGCCCCACCAGAGTCACTACACAGTATTCTGCAACTCCATTGAAAAACTCCTCCATAAATCAGGATGCTTTCAGCACTACTGATTGATTGCGGTAACTGCAAAAGAACCTTCTTCCCACGCTGAAGCTCCATGTAGGGCGTTAAAACACCTTATTGCCTAGGAAAGGGGGGAGTCACAACAACACGGCCCCGCCATGGAAACACTCAGCATTAAAGGATTGGTTCAGAACTAAAAGCACGGGATGAAGGTGGAGAAGAGTATGGAGCTGCCCCCCTCCATACGGCTGTTTGCATTTAGGGTGCCACCTAAAGGGAAACGGAGATGGTATGTCTGTCATCTCATCCCAAAGCCCATTCCGTGTAACACCAGACACCGAGCTAAAAGGCAAGAACCGAAGAAAAAGAGCAGCTGTCTGGCTGGCACTGAACCATTTCCACATTACCTGTCAGATTTATTCGGAAGTCCCCAAGGACTATGCCCCTATCAGCTAGTGAAAGTTGAGACCTTGGGAACACGCTATCTGAATTATTGTGACATCCTCTCTGAAATATGAGAACCTATGGGAAAAGTCAGCAAGAACGACAGCTCTCACGAAACAACCCTCCACATTTGTAGCTGTGGTATTTCTGCACCTCAAAATTCATACCCTTGACCCAAGACAGATTTCTCCAGCTTCTTTGAGGAGCATCTGAAATACGGTCACCTTGGCCTTCGTGGTGGCTCCAAGCAACAAAGGGGGTCACCACCTGTGAAGAGCAGTTCACAAGAGGGGGCAGGTAGGAGAAAATGGCACGCGACGAGCCCATTGCTGTCACGCAACAACCTGCTTCCTGTCCTCCACCACCTGTGGAAGTGTCCACACTTACAGCTGGAGGATGCGGCAGGCTGACCTGTCTCTGGGGAGGGGAGAAGACAGAAAGAAAAATGCTGTGACGAGCTGATGTGTCTGAAGAGCAGACGACAGTGAGAGAAGGCAGCTCCTAGAGATGGTTTCCATATGCCTGATCCATTTTTTCACAATGTCTTTCTTTTCTCTGTGGACAGGGTGGAGGGAATTCGGTACTGGTGTGAGGGGTGGGAAGGGGATTGTTGGAGCAGGAAGCTCACCACACGCTGGCCTGCTTCAGTCAGGCATGGAGAACAGGTTCAGATACA